TTTCACATGCGATGTTCAGAAGTGCCTCTAATTCACGAAAATACTTATGACGTTACCATGCCCTATGCATGTTGGAGCTATTTTTTACAATTTGGGGGTCAAAAATCAAGATAGAAAGTTGAAATTTGGAACATCTTATGTTCTAATAGAGATCTATAACATATGTTCCGGTTTTTGGAAATTTCCAAAATTTTGGATTTTATTAGCTGTTTTCCAAAAAATATAGTTTATTTTTGATTTTTAGGGGTGATAAACGCATTTTATGAAAAATTCCGAGATAGCCATTTTAAAGAACTCGTCAAGTTGCGCCTATTCATGTTCTTAATTTGCAATTTGCTTTAAACCCTGATTTTTGGCGATTTTTTAAACATTTACCACTTTTTGACTAAAAACGCCATGTAGTTACATCATTAAAATCGATATATCTAAAAAAAAAATGATTTTTGTTTCTTAAAAATTACACAGGAGACGTCAAATTGATGGGAGAGAAGGTATGCCAAGTTTCAAGTTGATAGCGTAAGCTGTTCTTGAGTTATTCAAGAAAAACGGAGGGGGGGGGGGGTCGGATCCGACCCCCCCCCCCCCCCAGGCGGTCGCGGGTTAATCTGAGACCTAGAAAAAAGGTACCAATAGCCAAGTCTCGTAATAGCGCGCAGGCTCGTTTTTCTGCGATGCTCTAGCTCAATCAGCAGCAAACGGTAAGTGTGTCGTATCCACCCCTCCCCCAACCCTAGGCCGGGACGCATGTGGAAAACCAATGGTTCCGGAGAGAGTTAAAAACGATTTAATGTTGCATATGAGGGAGGTAGGGTCTTGTCGCGTACGGTAAGACATCAAACGCCCCACCGATGATTCTTCGCAGATGTCTGAATACACAGATAGGTAACTTTGCCACGTACTATTTAGTTCAAAATGCAGTTTCAAATGCTCAAATGAATGCAGCAAATAAAACCCCATTCTGGCATGTCATGTCGAGAATGTAAGGTAAAAAAAAGATGTCAAAGGTCATATGGGTCAGTGCGCCGAATGATTTCTTTTTAAAGTTATGTGCAAACCGCATTTTCACGAGGGTATAGAAAAGTTTATCGCCACCCGCCGCTTTTTACGAGCGTTATAGATGACATATCGAGGGTTTCATCCGACCATGCTTTCGATAGGTGCGGAGCGCGGGATGTTACTTTTCTGTCTCTCGGAGGTAAATAACCATCTACCTATCATATGCATATGGTGTAACATTTTGTAATTACCAAAACTTTGAATAACGTCGAGCAGCATGACAAGAAAATAAGACAAAAACAAAAACAAAGAAACGAGGAAGTAAAAAAAAACGGAACAAATAGTGCATGTTTGCACTATTTGTTCCGTGTTTTTCTACTTGTCTCTATCAATATACAAACGAGGAAGCCTGTCGGCTGAGATTGCTGTCAGATCACGGCCATGACGAGGGAGCAATCAGCCATAACGCTTCGTTCAAGTATTTGAGCTTCGTCACTTGAGCGGATCGAAGCAGCTAATGCACATGTCATTATCGGTTGCCACTTGCCAGATTTCTAAGCAATGATCAAGATAATGCACCATGTAGGTATCCGGTTCATTTAATGGTCCGCTGTTCCAATATTGTCAAGCCTGCCATTTAAAGTGCTCCCGTCCGACAACAACCATTTAATCGTCTGTCATACAGCCCAACAACATCCTGCTAGCCATCTGTCATCCCACCCGACATCCCTCTTATCATCCGTCATACAGCCCGACAACATCTTTCCTGACGTCGTCCCGCCTGGCTTCCAGTCTCAACTGCCGGACCCGTGCACCGCACAGCAGCCTCCGCCGATTAGCGGCTCTGGCACTGGTGATTAGTGTGACGAGGCCCCTGGTGATTGGTGACGACACCCCCCCCCCCCCCTCTCCCTCCCGTCCGCCCCCCCCCCCCCCCGGTCACGACTAGTTGCGGTCAGCCGGGCGTCGGGTATATAAGGGAAGACGTGCACAGTGGCTCACACTCACACTTCTCACGGGTCCGGCAGCCAATCAACGTCACCGTCGTCATGAAGCTGGTGAGAAAGAACGCGAGATTGTATATATTTTATGGGCTTGAAAGGAGCCCGTGACAACGTTTTATGGTATTGAGTTATGATTTTCTTTGGAATCTTGGATGCACTTCAAACTTCGATCAGCAAAGCTGTGAACCTTCCTCCATTTCACTTTCGAGGTGGCATATTTAGGTGTAGGGTTTTGTAAGTGGCGTATTGATTGCTCAATCACTTTTGGACGCAAAAATATATGCTATTACTCGATTGATATCTATTGAATAAATTGTGCACGCAATTTTGTACCGTATGAATTTTGGACATTAAAAAAATCTATTGGGATCTGTACTATGGCTGTTTGTAAAAGTTTGTCACCGTGCTCGTTACGTCTTTTGAAACTAGCTAAAAATTGTATCAAGTGTTTATGAAATAAGTAAATTCTGCAAATCCCTAGCCTTTTTGGATAGGTGAAAACAGGAAGCAGTTATGGCTTATGAAAAGTCATCAGCAGAGCAAATCATATTGTTGATGGCAAATAATTTTGCAGAGGCCTGGTGTCGTGTTCTATTCGTGAATGACTGACACTTGACAATGGCATGACATTTTCTTTTTTGGCTTTTGATGACTTGCTGTGTGCTTGGCTTTATTTCTGTGTATCTTGTTTCAGTTAATTCACACTTCCTCTCTTTTTCAGTTCGTCCTCTTCGCCCTGGTGGCCGTGGCTGCTTGCCAGTACGTGCCTGGCAGCGACAAGGAGGCCCAGATCGTCAAGAACCTGTACGAGGCGGCCGTGGACAACAGCTTCGTGACCGACGTGGAGACCTCCAACGGCATCCTGGTCAAGGCGTACGGCGAGAGCCTGCCGGGCCCCGAGCCGGAGACGGGCACCTCGCGCCAGAGCGGCAGCTACCAGTACGTCGCGCCCGACGGCCAGACGATCCGCGTCGAATGGGAGGCCGACGAGAGGGGTTACCGCGCCACCTCGGACGTCATTCCCGAGGGAGCCGACGGCCGGGCGGCCGCCACCGGCGAGCAGCAGTTCTAGACGGGCGCCGAGCGACGGGCCGCGTCGGTACCGACAGCCGCCGACGCGCCGGAATCGACACCAAGGAGCGCCCACCCGGACTCGAGATGTAACGTGTGATCCTGTGTAATATAAACGCCAAACGAATCCTATATACACTCATGATATTACATCGAATATTTTTATTAGCTCAGACGAGCGCCGTCATAGCCCACCAGTAAGACGTAAGACGCCTTTTGGGCGAAAAACGACCGAGCGAGACAGTGCGAGCCCTGGACGAACGAAAGTACACTGCGAGCCCCCAACTGACTTGTGCGGGCCACCTATCTAGCCGATTGATAAAGGTGTAAGGTGTTCCAGCTTTGAGAAAAATTGGTCCAGTCGTCCTTGACAAAAACGGCACCCTTCACGTGTCCACGTGCAATATGAGACCCCAACTGGATTATGCAGTTTACCCTAATAATCGTTCCCTAGCATCCAACCGAATTTAAACTGAATTGCCCCAATCCTTCTCGATATATGGAAACGGCCTCCTGAACGTGCGCACGTGCAAGCAAGACCCAACAGACTTGTGACAGGCACCCTGCCACATGCCTCTAGCGGTGTACCAAATTTTAGCGCAATCGGCAATCGGAGCCTGACGTTTTCGAGATCTAGAAGTGACCTTTGCACGTGCTCACGTGCACTAGCACCCCAACCGTGATATATGAAACTGCGTTCCTCGTGGGGTGCCTAGCCTACCGACATGCAAAGTTTCCATGGCACGTGAAATGAAGGTCACCCACATGTATTCGAGAGTAGTTCGATGCTTGAAGGATAGTAGTAAGAAGGATAGAAGGATAGATCTATCTGACGCAGAAAGCCGCTTGTCAAACGGTCGAGTGGTTGCTGAGATATAAGCCTCTCAAAAGCGTCACGGAACCGGGCAGGGCCGGCCCCCATGCCCCTATGACGGGTCGCTATGCTCGTTCAATCGGTACCAACTACTTTTTCTACATAAAGGCAAATAAAAAAACATACAAAACGTGTCTCATGCTAAATGCTAATCATAACAATAACAAAAATATGGTTAGAAAAAATTATCATCAACCGCAAATCAGCTTAGCTATGCACCTTCCATAAAGAGATCCGGTGATGGTGTCATCGCGATGACTTGTCTCAAGGCCATCCTGACAAGACCATCTTTGATTGGCAAAAATAATCTGCACGGCTTATTTGGTCGAACATCTAACGGTTAACAGCGATGCGTCACTGAGGACACCTGATAATCATGCTACTTATTTTGTTGAGTTTCTGTGCAGCGCATGCAGTGCAGCATCTCGACATCGCAAAAACGTCAGCGATGAACTTTCACCGATGAACGGAGACCCAGGCAGCCAGACGACGCGACAGTAAAAACACGTCTCAATGTATAAATCGTGAGAGAATGCACCACTTTTAGCCTTCACAACATGGAGCCCATAGTTCAGGCCACGACTGGCAGATCCCATTCCGTAGCACCTGCCTTGATCACAGCTGTCCGAGCGTTCATGACTACTTCGGAAATTAATAGGCTGAGTTGTGGAGCTACGAAATTGGAATTTAGACTGTGGAAAATGAAACAAATCATTGAAAGGTCAGTCTCATCACACCACATATATTCATGTCACCGCAACTCTTTCATTAAATGCTGACAATGGTTTGTGAAAATGAAAATATGATATAAGACAAAAAAGGATGAAGAAATAGACATGTATCACATTCGTCGTATTATACCAATAAATAGAGAAATGTAAAAGAATACAAAGGCAGTTTCACTTAATCTCATACCACGTGCACTGACCAGAGAGTGATAGACGAATAGCAATGTGTAAATAAGCCTGTAATTTTTCAGCCTTTCGTCGAATTAAACTAACATCCGTCTTTGTCGATGTTGATGACAAGAAATTCGTGAAACAGACCCAGGGAAATCAAGTTGTTGACATGTATTTCATGACTCAATGGCATACAAACATGAAAATGGGAAGGTGAGGCTGTTGTACATAGGCGGTTGGATGGAAAATAGTTTGTCATTAGAAAATAACAGAATGCGATGATAAGATCACCCAGGCACGGTGAAGTTTGCAACCATTTCAAGTCGCAAATGTGCCAGAATATAGAAGCCGTTTGGCGTTTATATTACACAGGATCACACGTTACATCTCGAGTCCGGGTGGGCGCTCCTTGGTGTCGATTCCGGCGCGTCGGCGGCTGTCGGTACCGACGCGGCCCGTCGCTCGGCGCCCGTCTAGAACTGCTGCTCGCCGGTGGCGGCCGCCCGGCCGTCGGCTCCCTCGGGAATGACGTCCGAGGTGGCGCGGTAGCCCCTCTCGTCGGCCTCCCATTCGACGCGGATCGTCTGGCCGTCGGGCGCGACGTACTGGTAGCTGCCGCTCTGGCGCGAGGTGCCCGTCTCCGGCTCGGGGCCCGGCAGGCTCTCGCCGTACGCCTTGACCAGGATGCCGTTGGAGGTCTCCACGTCGGTCACGAAGCTGTTGTCCACGGCCGCCTCGTACAGGTTTTTGACGATCTGGGCCTGCTTGTCGCTGCCAGGAACGTACTGGCAGGCAGCCACGGCCACCAGGGCGAACAGAACGAACTGAAAAACAAGACACGTAACAGGTGAAGCTAAGCTGATGCATAGGAAATGAGGCACCTTGCAATGTTTGATATAGTTGACACCTTGAATTGTTTCACTAGGGAATCTATCCAAAAAACAAGAATTTCTTTAAAAAGAACTCGATTGCGCCTGACTTTGCGATGAATCTATAGCGTAACAGTGGACGGTAGCTAAGATTGTATTGCAAATTCAAATGGCTACGCTTGGCTTTCACACTTGAATTGCATAAATTCCTGATTAAGTCTAGAGTTTGAAAACATTTACCAAAGTAGCATTCTAACGATAATTTTTAGTATCGAATATATCAGATAAGATAACTGCCAGGAACATCCACAGCACAAACTCCAGCCACTCTATCCGAATCCCTTCTAACCCGACTGATCAGTCCCAAGCCAGTCCGATCCTTACCAGCTTCATGACGAAGTGAGCTGGGTGGTTCGATCACTGCAAATGATGGGGCGTCCCGGTGTCCGTCTCATTTTATACCTCCGGCAGCCTCCCAGAACTGGTTGGACGCCGACGGACGCTGCCCAGTAGCCGCAGAGATCCCCGAGTTGACACCATTTTTACGCAATGGTGGCGACACTCTCTGAATGGCAATGATTGGGGATAAGGTGCAGCGCTTAGAGATTCGTGGTCAATCTTGGGATGGAGACACCTGGCCATTTAAGGTAATTAAATGAAACCACGAATGGTGATAAGTCTAGCTGGCTATTTAACGCATAACGATGGACAAGTTACCCGGTACCTTCATGGCTTTTGTGAGAAGTCTGTAACATTCAAAATGTATAAGCTCCCCTCCCCATACCATACCCTTGGTCCGGAAACATATATCTGCACAATCGAGCTTCAATGTTGGCAAAATGACGAATGAAAGTTGCACATCAGGTGCAAAGGTGTCCATTCTTTGCATTAGATGGATTTAGGTAGGGCGATCTTTTCAAACACACCAATGTCACTCAGGCACTGAAATATAGCATGCATTTGCAAAACGCCAACCGGGGATGTGAATTTGAAATGAACAAACCGGTCGCCAGGTATCAAATCAAAGGACGCCTCAGCATGTCTCGGTGGCATGATTTATTTTATGTTATGTAATGCGAGATTCTGCCGGGGTCAGCATGGGCAGGGTTTCATTAAATAAATATATTATATGAATACACAATCACATTTCATTTAAACTACACGTTTTAGGGGTATCTCAGTTCACGGACTTCGTGGCATTGAATGAATAAGCCCAATTAATGCTTGCGAGCTGTGCTTGCAGCATAGCACTTCCAGAAAATTACCCTGGCTCCCACTGGGTCCTTTCCCTACCCTGGCCCAACTAGTTTCTCAACAAGTTTTTCATCACTTGGATAGGTATTCAGCGATATCTTGTTTGATGGCGCACACAGGATGTGTAATTCCATTTGCTGAAATATCCCAAAATATTTCTAATCTAATCCAAAATCTGATCTTAATATGCAAGAATCTACATAAAAAACGAGAACATGAAGCGTTCAATCCTATGATGTTGTTTGTTATTAAAGGCAGGCACAACCATCTGGTATCAAGCATCGTTTGGTCGGTGGGCGGGCTGTCATCGAACTTTGGCCGGACCAAAAAACATATTTCGTCGACGGTTAAAGGAAACAGTCCACTTTCCTGAAATCAGTATTTTGCTATTGATTTATGATTTTTTATGCTCAAAATAATCATGAAATAAAATAAAACCTTTTTGTAAAAACAATTATTTTCTATATTTTAATATAGGACGAACTATATTCTATGTAAAATAATAATTGCCGCGGAAGCTTATTACGCATTGACCAATCATATTGCATAGCTCAAACCTACGCATACTGCATTGGCTGTAAGCAGCACGCTGATTGGCTGACGATGACATGGCTGCATTTCTGTGCAAGGCACGCATTCCTCTACAAGGCACTCTTTTCGGAACGAGAAATGGAATATCTTCGTCTAGGGTGATCGTTGAGCCATAAAAGCTCCTGATTTGTGCTAGTCTCAGCTCAAGCTACGAAACTGCTATTCCAGCTCAAAACCCCATGTTAAAAGTGAACTATTTCCTTTAATAGCGCACGTAATTCGAAGGCCTCTTCACTCAACTTCAATGTTAACAGCATCATTAGAGACATGCTCCAATGTCTTGACCCTCGTTAATGCTGTTCGTACGAATCATTTGACGTCGACTTTGAACGAAGTCGTTAAAAGCACGTGTGTGGTCTACTCATGAACACTCAACGATATAGTTGCGCACCCATGGTTGCGTTTAAAAAAATATACCACATACGACTATAAGAAGTAACTATATGTTACATTAACCTTCCAGTTTTTTCCAAAAACTTCCATCTCGGATTTAAGGAATTGTTGGATTCTGACCCCCAAAAATCAAAAACTAGATTTTTGAATATAAGCGCCGAAAAATTCAAGATTTTTTTTAATTTTCGAGAAAAAAAAATCGGAATATATGTGATAGTCCCTACTGCATTCTAGCTACATACCAAATTTGAGATCGATACCTCTTTTTTGGCCAAGTTATAGTGAAAAAAAAACCGTTCAAAATTGATGACGTCAAATTTTCCAACTCAATTTTTAGCAATTCTAGACTTCGTAGAGCAAAACAAAGACCACCATTACCACCAAAGACCAGTTCCGTCCACAGATCCTACAATTCACTATTCCCATTAGCTTGCATGGTTGCTGATACCTATGTTATAACTCACAACTTGATGCTTATTGCCCAAACGCGAGAGAGAGAGAGAGAGAGAGAGAGAGAGAGAGAGAGAGAGAGAGAGAGAGAGAGAGAGAGAGAGAGAGAGAGAGAGAGAGAGAGAGAGTTTTTAGCTATTACATTTGCCCAGGACATCCAGTCACTGCCCTATCAGGAAGAGTGACGCTCATTTTTCTTGAATTCTGGGAGGAAACTGTTTACTTGGCCAATTTTTAGCTGTCTGGCAGGTCGCCGCTCGGTATACCGTCCAATCATTTTACCAAGAACCTACACTTTTCCTGTCTTTTGCAATGAACGTCTTCGCTGCACGAGTTCGAGTTATATAAGATAACATTGGATATTTTCCAGTAGGAGAACTAGCATTTTGTTCAATTGCTTTATGTATTTGATGCAGCTTTCATGTTAGTAATTTCTCTGGAACACGGGAGATTCCATTCATTTGGCCCACATCGAAGTTATTGTGTTTGTCGCTGTCGCTATTGTTTTTAGAGCAATGCTTTCAAGTGAGCTAGATGTAGGATGATTGCTTTTCCATTTGCGCGGCGTCTGTGATGACAGCACTCGTTTCACATCCCTGTAGTCGTGTTTCCAAAAATAAATCAGCAGGATTACATGTACACTGAGCATTGCACAGACTAATGTTCGCGACCGAATCGTTGGAAACGCACACGTGTTGCAAAAAAAAAGCAATGCAAAAAAGAACTGCATCATAGCCAAATCATATATTCGACACATTGATAACGCGAAATGCACACACAAAATATACCTAAATATCACCATTCGTTGCAGAAAATTCATAGTAAAAAAGGAAGAGCCTATCCAATCACTAATTACTTCAACCCTTTGCATGGTATATTATCACTTATAAACGAAAAAGTACCTATTGGTGCGACAGAATTTGGGAGAAAATACAGTAAGCAAACACGATCTTATGTCAGCAAAGAACCGAAAAAATATGTACGCACAAAATAAATAAAACATTTTTCAGCTACGGCACTACACCAGCACCTGCCAGTATCACTCCCCTTAGCATCCAATCACCACGCCTCAGACCCCCTGATGACGTCACTGCTGCGGGATGACGTCAGAGGTGGCACGGTAGCCATTCTCGTCAGCCACCCAGTCGACTCTAATACGCTGACCGTTGGGCGCCGTGTACTCATAGGTGCCGGACATGCTCATAGAGCCCGTCTCCGGCTCGGGGCCCGGCAGACTCTCTCCCTGAGCTTGGATCACGATGCCGTTGTCAGTTTCCACCTCACTCCGATAGCTGTTGTCGATGGCCTGTTCGAATTCGTTTTTGATGGTGCGAGCGTTGACGTCACTGCCTCGGACGTACTGGGGCGTGGCGGCGGCGACCGAGACCAGAGCGGCGAGCAATAGCTGGAGCAGAAAATGGGTGGTGAGTGGAAGGAAACGGTGAGAGAGAGAGAGAGAGAGAGAGAGAGAGAGAGAGAGAGAGAGAGAGAGAGAGAGAGAGAGAGGGAGAGACAGAGAGAGAGAGAGAGAGAGAGAGAGAGAGAGGGGAGAGAGAGAGAGAGTGAGAGAGAGAGAGAGAGAGAGAGAGAGAGAGAGAGAGAGAGAGAGAGAGAGAGAGAGAGAGAGAGAGAGAGAGAGAGAGAGAGAGAGAGAGAGAGAGAGAGAGAGAGAGAGAGAGAGAGAGAGAGAGAGAGAGAGAAGATAATCGTGTTGAACGCAGTCACAGGCCAACAGTATACAGCGATATTCTTCGCTCCTGAACATTCTGACCGGTGAACACATACCGGCATAAAAAAGACACTAAGGCCGTCTATGACGAGACATGCCTAATGAAGAATGCTGATGTAAATGAAGCGTGCTCAATTTGGATAAGTTTGAAACTTAGATGAGCTGGGCACAATGTTTTATTCTTTAAATCACTATCCAGATGAGCTGTAGGGAGCGTTCGTAGTTGTCCAAAAATCCATCAATCTTCACATCGAGAGATTGCCAATAATATTTATATATCCAACGATATGCTGCCTTATTTGTGTAGAATCTGTGCAATGCTGATGATCTACACATGGTGTCTTTAAGAGCACCTATTCCATAAGCCTTATCCTAAGGCATTCCTAAAAAGGGGCCTTGAGATGGTCGAAGTACTGTTATCATAAGCAGTATTGCAATGGAGATCAATCGCGATTCTAATTTCGTGACTGTTGTCTTCTGGCTGGCATTTTATAGCCATGGCCCTGGGGATTATTCTTTTCGCAGCTGGTTGCATATAGGACACTGATTTCATAATCTGCTCTAGCATACGCCATACGTTTTGAATACTTTTGTCAACAATGGCTTCACACAAAACTAGTTCAATAATAGGCATCTTATTGAAAAGTGAAGTTTGATAGCGAAGAATGTATACTTTTGTTGCAACTGAAAATATACGAGCCCCAAAGAGGAAAATTGAGCTTCTAACAGGAATTGAAGGAATTTTATTTTATCAACAAAAGTAAATAATCGGCTAAGCTTGATTGTGTTACTCACCCATATTGACATAGAAAATTGTGAGACTTTTGGAATGGAACTATAGTAATTAAACAAGCAAGGAACAAGGCAGCCCAGTCTATCCAAGCCACTCACCAGTTTCATATTCACAGCTTCGTTTTCTTCACAGGGCGACTCAAAATGCAGCCGATCTATAAAGAACAGCGGACCGAGCACCGAACCCTGTGATACACCAGCGAGGGATCGGCGGCGCGGTCCTTTATACGGCCGCCTCTTTAGCCGCGGGGTACACGGATTAAGGAGTGCCTCTCGTGGGGTGGACGGGGCCAAACACTTAGCAGTGACCTGTCTGATGGCCGACTGGGTCAGTGGCTCATAACTCCTGGATCAGAAGGAGCGAGGGGGAGGGTGCGCGGCGTCATAGTGTCGATGGTGGGATACTGATACTTGGAGCGGTGAATGCTCATGAATAGTGGTGCTGTTATTACTGATATACTGATACTATTAATTGCAATGCTATTACAGACGAACCCCACATTGAGGCGACACCATGACTTGTTACATTTCACTGTGGTATCCCCAGGATATCACGTCACCATGCAAATGGGAGATAGGTATCATTGTTCGTAGTCTGTAACTATTGTTACCGTTCTTCTATGCCGCGTTGTGAGAAATGAGGTCTGGCCATCGACGGGCTGTCCCGCGGTGATTACATTAGTGCTGTCATTCCATCCATCTGACCTCAAACCAGAAAACAGCCTTCCCCTCCCCACTGAAGTTCGACCAGCCAAAAAGTCACGTGGATTTCATTATCGGGCACGCGCAGCTTTTTTGTACCAAGCTACCTCCGGAAATAAGTTTTCAACGGGGATGAATAGTGCCACTTCCAATAAGCTGATTACGCTGGGGACGAGCCAGAGCCGATATACCGCGAGTTTGGCGGTCTCAAGGTCCGACGTATTGGTGGTTGTCGATAATGCCCGACTGCCAAGCAGCCAGAAAATTGCGAATCGGATTTCATTGAATTCAATCACCACCCAGGAACATTTCTCTTGCGGCTGGTCTGGAAGTGTTGGTTTGATTTATTTATTGCGCGCACAAAAGTACCACGATCAAATAAGTTCAAGTTCTCATAACGCATGGGAATCTGCAGAGAACAGGCGTTAAACAGGGTTGTTAAATGATTATCCACATGTCCGTTTCAATTAATTGTTCGTAGTTGACTAACTAAGCACATCGTGACCCGAAGAGTGAGCAGTATGAAGTTAGGTGCCTCAAACTGACCAGATTAGCCAGTGTTTCAAAAATCAGATGCTGCATGTAATCATGGTCTCCATAAGGCTGACTCATTTCGGCTGTTGTATTATGCAAGCCTCGAATTACGGAAGGGGCTAATGCAAAATAAAATGCCTTGCATGCATAACGGAGAACGCCTTCTGTGTTATTTTTGTTCAGCAATTACAATGTTTTTGGCACCAGATTCAGCGAACTGCGACTGATGCGTATTTCTCGACCGAAGTCCATTGCCTTCTTGACGCCACTATCACATTATTCTCGCCACACCACCCAAACGACCTTTGACTGTGACAAGTCACCCTGACAGTACCCTTTCTGACGTCACACCTCCTGCAGAGGACCATTCAGCTGATTTGACCCTGAGGGCACACGATGGACATCTACCCAATGATAAGCCCCTGCAAGACTTGCGTCACCACATTTGAATAATCCCTGACGCAGAGGACCTGGTCACCACACGGCACGGTACGACGACGAGATAACGATTTTTCGCGGTGAAGTCAAGGTTATTGGAGACACTGCTGTGGAACCTTGGTTGCGACGAACCGCGAAAAGGTGAGCATGGTTCCCTGAACTCAGGTAACCATCAGTGGCGGCGGAATAGGGGGTGCAGGGGGTGCAGCTGCACCCCCATCGACAAACATGGGGGTGAAAACATATCTTTTTGCACCCCCAAAATCCGTGCAAGGGGCCCGTCACACCATCCAATACATTTTCTCCTGAAAACCAGTGATCGAGAAATGAACACTGATGTGGAATCATCCGGGATGTCCAATTATGGTTAGGAGCGCCCCATGCTAGTCTTTGGGGCCCCCACACCGACTAGAAGTGTTCCGAGCCGCGTTTGGTGCTCCATGCGCCATGCGGCATCTGAGGGCCCCCACGACGGCCTCAGAGGGCCCTTTTATGACGATCTCTGAGGGCTCCCACGACGACCTCTGTCCCCTGGGGCCCTACAACGGCCACTTAGGGCCCTCATGACGACCGCTGAGGGTCCCACAGAGAGTCTAGGGCCCCAAGGAGACTCCAGAGGCCACGCTGGCCTCTGAGGGCCCTATGACGGCCTCTGAGGGCCCTATGACGGCACGGCCTCTGAGGGCCCTTACGATCTCTGAGGGCTCTCACGACGACCTCTGTCACCTGGGGCCCTATAACGACCACTAAGGGCCCTCATGACGACCGCTGAGGGTTCCACAGGACTCCAGGGGCCCCACTGGCCTCTGAGGGCCCTCGTGACGGCCCTAGACCCAACTCAAGTCTGAGGGCCCATTTGGCTTCAGACGGCCCAGCGACTGCCTCTGAGGGCCCCAACACAACCAGGCTGCAGGGGCTATGCTGGCATCTGAGGGCCCTGCAACGGTCTATTGAGGGCCCTAACGATGGCCTCTAGTGGTCTTACCAAGGCCTATGAGAGCCCTGCAAAGGTATCTGGGGGCCCATGAAGACCCTCACTATGGCCAAGGACCCTCATGACGACCTCTGATGATCCTCTCGAAGGCTTCTAAGGGCCCTCACAACAACTTCTGAGGACCCAAGGATGGTCCCTGAGGGGCTGAGGGCCCTGACGACGACCTCTCTGGGCCCTCACAATGGTCTCTAAGACCCAACGCAAGCTCCAAAGGCCCACGCTGGCGTCTGAGGGTTCAACGACGGCCTCTGAGGGCCTCGACGCAGGCAGGCTCCAGGGGCCATGCTGACCTCTGAGGGCCCTCTTGACGGCTTCTAGGGGCTAACGAAGGCTTCAAGGGCCAACGCTGGCCTCTGAAGAACCTTACGACGGCCTCGGAGGGTGTCACCTCAACGCAGGCAGGTGCCAGGAGACATGCTGGCCTCTGAGGGCCCCGCAGAGTTCAGCTTCAGAGGACCCAACGACCTTTGTGGACCTTACGAAATACGAAGGTCTCCGAGAGCTCACGCAGGCTCCTGGAATTCCACACTGATTCTCAGGCCCCATGCCGGCTTGTTGCGGCACTTTAATCTGCTCTTGGTGCCCCGTCGCTGGCCTCTGAGAGTCTCAATGTCGGAACTTATGGGGTCATGGGCCCTACACCGGCTTTTATGGCCCCTACATCGACTCTTGGGACTCATGACCCATGAAATGTGGGACTAAGCGGCTTCTAAGTCCTAAGAATCCCCATGCTGGTTCTAGTAGCCGCCAGCCGAATATTTGGGCTCACACGCGAGCTCCTGGGACCCCGTGCATATCCCAGGGGTCTACCTGCCTCTAAGATCCCACACATACTTTTGGGGCTCAAACGCTTGCCCCTGAAGGCCCCACTGAGACCCCTTTCCTCTATTCAGTCCTCCATACCGGCTCTTTAGGCTAAACATCGGCTCCTGTGGCCTCCATCCCGGCTTTGGAGGGCCTCCATACAGGCTTTTTTGGGGTCCGATACCGGATTCTGAGAGCCCTCAAAAGACTTTCGAACCTATACACCTACAGAACGAGGCAAGCCGATCTATTCAGCCACCCCAACATACGTCGTCCACTCCAGAAGTTTTGAGACTGCCCTCGTAAAAGCCCTATTAACAGTGCTAGATTCTTGTCGCTTTCATGTGTCCTTACCACAGTTGTCGTAAACGTACTTGCATCATTTTGTTTTTGTACGTTGCAAGAGACGGCTAGGGCATCACCCTGAACACGGCAAGTCGCAAGCGGCTTGTCACAGCGGCCAGTGCACAGCATGGTCAGGCTGTTAATGTGAGGACAACTTTGAGGGTCGCTAGGCAATACAATTTTGTGATTAGCTTGATAAAATACCCCAGAAACATTTAAAAATAACACTTCAGTGACTTGGGACGAAAGCTGGATGTATTTTTACCGATCCAGACACCAAGAGACAAAGTGTTCAATGGAAGCACACTGACTCCCCCAGACCCAAGAAAACCAGGCAGAGCAGGTCCACTGTGAAGCTCATAATAATCCTGTATTTTGACAAAAAGGCATTATATTCATTAGCTGGGTCCCGTGCACGGCCAGATGATTAACAAGGAATGTTTCATGAAAGTTCTAGGGGAGTTGAGAAAGGGAATTCGCCGCAAGAGATCCGAACTCTTCAAATTTGGCCAGGGGCACCTGCACCAGGTCAACGCACCCACCCACAAGTCCATCAAGGTGACGAGCTAACTAACACAGATGAGCATCAGAACTGTCCCTCATCCTCCCCACAGTCCAGATCTGGCCATCTGTGGCTTCTGGATGTTCCCCAGAATGACAGAGAAGCTCAGGGGACGCCGGTTGGAGGATTTGGAGGAGATGAATGAGGCTGTGACAGAGGCCCTGGGCACCTTCACTTTGGGAGACTTCCAGCGGGCCTTCAAGAAGTGGCTGGAGCGCTACAACAAGTGTATTGAACTCGGGAGGTCTCATTTCGAGAGTCACTGAAGTTTCATGCTGTTCTGAAACAGCAAACTGTCTCTAATGAAAAAGCCTCAAAACTTCTGGAGTGCACCACGTACGCACTGAATCCGGTAGGCGGAGAATGTGTTACCGTGGCGTGACACTGCTCAACGGTATAGGGGCAGATCCCTGTGAGCCCGGGTTTCGTAGAGCTGTCAGAGCGGTCGTCGGATCTGTCGATCCTCAGTGATGATCGGAGTGAGTTGATGTATGAGTGGTATGCGTGTGGAACGTGAATGTGGCCTAAATTCGTCCTTTTTGTACTTGTAACTGACGTGAAAGAGTGAAAAGCCATGGTGAGTGGACTTCTTTTGAATAAATCTGAATTCTGAATTTTGAATTCTGAAACCTTTCAGCAACTTTCAAGGGACCGACCCTGATCGGAGGGCTCATTCAGCCTGGGGAGTCATGTAGGTCTCTGGAGGAGTCTCTATGTGGTCGGTTTCCAAGGGGCTTCTAAGCACGGTCTTCTTGGAACGGTCTCGTAGGGCCCTCAATGGTCCACTGCGGATCCAGAAAAGTGGTTTGAGACGCTGCAGTGCGGGTGGTGGCTAGACTAAAAGATTAGCCGATAAAAAAAAACTAGCTGCATTTGCTTCTTTATGCTTTCATTATTTGAGATAGGTATGTACACTGCAATTTTAAACCTTTTACAG